CCTCCCAAAGTGTTGGGATTATAGGCGTGAGCCACCGCGCCCGGCCAAAACGTTTGCTTTTTCATTTTTTTGAGATAGGGTCTTGCTTTGTTGCCCAGGCTGGAGTTAGGTGGTGCAGTCTTGGCTCACTGCAGGGCCAACCTCCTGGGCTCAAGCAATCCTCCCACCTCAGCTTCCAAAGTGGCTGGGACCACAGGCGTGCACCACCACCATGCCCAGCTCAGTCTGTTTTTGAGAGGAGGCCTTCCCACGTTGCCCAGGCTGGTCTCCAACTCCTGGGCTCAGGCAATTCTCCCATGGCGGACCACCAAAGTGTTGTGATTACAGCCGTGAGCCACCACACCTGGCAAATTTTTAAACTTTTTATAGAGATGGGGTCTCACTATGGTGCCCAGTCCGGTCTTAAACACCTAGGTTCAAGCGATCAACCTGCCTTGGCCTCCCAAAGTGACAGGATTACAGGCGTGAGCCACACACTTGGCCTAGGAAACATTTTCTGACCAGCGACGGTGGCTCACGCCTGTAATCCCAGCACTTTGGGAGGTAAGGAGACGGACCACCTGAGGTGAGGAGTTCTAGACCAGCCTGACCAACATGGAGAAACCCTGTCACTACTAAAAATACAAAAAAGTAGCTGGGCGTGGCAGGCCATGCCTGTAACCCCAGCTTCTCAGGAGGCTGAGGCAGGAGACTCGCTTGAACCCGGGAGGCAGAGGTTGCGGTGAGCCGAGATTGCACCATTGCAAAACAAACGAACAAACAAACAAACAAAAAAAGCCCGGCGTGGTGGTACATGCCGGTAGTCCCAGCTACTCGGGAGGCTGAGGCAGGAGAATAGCTTGAACCTGGGACACAGAGGCTGCAGTGAGTGGAGATCGCACCACTGCACTCCAGCCTGAGCAATAAGAGCAAAACTTAGCATAAAAAAAAATACCCAATTTTCTGCCTCAAGGGCCCTGTGGACACCCGTGAGGACTGTGGCTTCCTGCCCGAGGGAATGCGTTTCACGGAACTCCTGGTGCACAGCAGGCCAGCACACAAACCCGTCACGCCACGTCCCATCAGCCAGTTCCAGCAATGGCTCAGCTGACAGAGCGGCTGTGGGGCGTGCAGGGGAGCCAGGCTGAGGCTGGGGTGACTGCTGTGACACTTGCTCCCTGCCTGGGGCCTCTCTGCCACCCTCAGCCATCAGGGAGGGCACCCTGCAGACACTGGGGCTGGGCCTGAGTCCAGGGAGAAACGCATCTCTCCAGAACCAGAGGCCTTCCCTCAGGACCTGTGCAGGCGGGCTTAGGGCAGCCGGGACCCCTTGGTCTCCCCGTTCTGACCAGGAGACACCCCTGGAAGGAGCGGGCCTCCAACCCCATGGTTTCAGGGATGTGTGGGGTGGCTGCTGGGGCCCCCAGGACCCCCTTAGGGGTATGGGGACATGTGCTGACAGGGGGCTGGGTTTCTTAGTGCTGCAGTGGGAGTCAGAGCCCCCAACCCATCTCCTTGTGGACCTGGCCAGAGCAGCTGCAGAGGTGGCCCGAGGGCTGGGGACAGGATAGGCAGGGCATGGCCTCTGCTCAGGCAGGCTCCTCCCGGCCGTCCCCAGCACTGTCTGGCTGTCGTCTGCGTTGACTCACACCAGGCCCTCGGTGCGGATGGTGCCCCAGGACCAGGGGGACCCTTCTAGCCGCAGCAGCACCTCACAGGGACAGGGTGGAGCCAGTGCCCGTGTGGCATACCCTGCGGGGCTGGCCTCACACACAGGAGGCAAGTGTGGTGGGGACGGGACAAGCAGCGGAGGGGCGTGGGGGGCCGAGCCCATGGACAGGCCCCTCAGCATGGCCTCCGCCACTGCCCACACCCAGGAGCCTTTCCTCCTAGCTGGCCACGACTCACTGGGGCTGTGGTCCAAGACTGCCCCTGTCACCTGGCCTGCTCCCATGCCCACCGCAGACCCTGTGTACAACGGTGCCTGCTGCCCACAGGGCTTATGCCCCCAACCTTCGCCCTGGAGGCGCAGCCCCTGGCTGTCTCTAGCGTGAGCCTGTGTACCCGCTCCCCTCCAGACAGGCAGCCTCAGCGGGGATGCAGGGAGCTCCCGCCAGCGGCACCAGGGCTGCTACCTACCAGTAAATCGTGTAGGCCTCTGCTTGAGCTGGGTCTTGGATATTTGGTTCATTTAGAAGTTCCTGTATTCCTAATAGGATCTGTACCAGAGACAAAAACACAAGACAAGGGTGTGAGCAGTCTGAAAGGGAGACCCCTGAGACTGGGCTTCAGCCACAGAACGACTGCAGACCCGCCCGTCTGGGGCGGGGTGGGGGAGACTGAGCAGCCCTGGCGTGCAGGCGGCGGCCCCGTCCGTACCTGTTTGATTGTGATGGCTGGCCTCCAGTCCTTGTCCTCCTCTAAGATGGACAGGCACACTGTCCCCGAAGGGTACACATTTGGGTGAAATAACGGTGGTTCAAATTTACCTGGAGAACGAGGAAGAAAGGAAGCGCTTTTTGGAGGCAGGCACTGTCCAGAATCACCCTCCTCCCAACACTGGGGCACCGGGTTCCCAGCCAGGTATTTGGCCAAGAACTTTTCTTTCTTTCCTTCTTTTTTTTAAGATGGGGTTCACCATGTTGGTCAGGCTGGTCTTGAACTCCCAACCTCAGGTGATCCGCCCGCCTTGGCCTCCAAAGTGCTTGGATTACAGGCGTGAGCCACCACGCCCAGCCTGGCCAAAAACTTAAAAAAAAAAAAGGAACTGTGGCCACAAGGAGACGAGAAAGAAACATCCACCTCTGCACCCAAGAAATAGGGCCTGGGGAACACGGCCGCGGGCCAGAGACGAAGCTGGGTCTCTCCCGGGATGGAACTCTGGACACAGCCAGACAGACACGGAACAGCAACCCCAGGTCCTTCCCAGCTGGGCCAGACTCAGGGGAGACCGGAGGAGCTGCAGGAGGCTTCCAGGGAAACAGCCAGGCCCTTCCAGAGTCAGCAGCTTCGACCCAGACCCCTGCTTCCACAACACACAGGCTTCTGGACCCTGTGTTACTTCTTACTTTGAAAAAGCAAAAAAGTCTGCCACCGTTAGCCCCGTCTGGGACCACCTTTGACCAGGGCCTTCTCCCACTTCTCTCAATGCTATGTACTGACACACAGCGCAGCAAGCTAACGGAATTACCAAAAAGACAATGCCCACGAACACCCGCGTCTCTGCAACACCTGCTCCTACCAACCACTGTGCCTGCCCCCAATCCCAACGCCGGCATCGCGGGCAGCTTCCCGGACTTCAGGTACCACAGAGAAGCGCAGGACACGCTCCTTGGGGAATGCAGCGAGGGCGCCACCGTGGACCGTCCCACACTGTGAACCATCCCACGCCGCAGGAGCCCATGGGCGACACCAGCAGCTGCATGGCGGTCCTGAGTGCGAGCCCTGGCGCGGCGCGCGGTGCTGTGTAGAGCGGGATCACGGTGTCCGTCCTCAGACCTGCTGCCTCCAGGCTCATGCAGGCCACGTCGCTGGCGGATTTTAGCCACTGGGTGAGGTGCACAGCAGCCACTCCCGTGGTTCCATACTGCACCTCCTGGTGACCGCTGAGTGAAGCCCCTTCCAGCCCCGGCTGCTTCCTGGTGACTGACTCAGAGAAGGTCCTGAAATGACACATCTCACAGGGTTCTTCTCCTGCTCTGGGCTCAACTTTTTGCTTTTTTTTTTTTGAGAGTCGCCCAGGCTGGAATGCAATGGCACGATCTTGGCTCACTGCAACCTCTGCCTTCCGGGTTCACGTGATTCTTCCTGCCTCAGCCTCCCGAGTAGCTGGGATTACAGACGCCCGCCACCACGCCCTGCTAATTTTTGTATTCTTGTAGAGATGGGGTTTCACCATGTTGGTCAGGCTGGTCTTGAAGTCCTGACTTCAGGTGATCCGCCCATCTTAGCCTCCCAAAGCACTGGCATTACAGGTGTGAGCCACTGCACCTGGCCCGACTCTGTTCTTCTAAGGGAATCTTGTGGCAAACTCAATTGCCTGATTTCAATTTAATTTGATTTCTCAATCTCATTTTTCCTGCCAATCAGAACTTACCCACAGAAAGGCACACAAGTGCTGGCTACCAGCACCACCAGGCCCTCGGAAGGGGGAAGCTGCTCCCTGCTTCCTCATGCCAGCCAGCCTGGCTGCCCCTGTGCTTCGCAGAAGGAACAGAAGAGGAGCGCTCTCCCGCCTAGACTGTCCGCCAGGTGTCACGTGGCCTCTTCACTCTTCCCCACCTGTCATCCTAGGACGTCCGGGCTGTGGCAAAGGGGCCTGACACGGGCACCCATCTGTGCCTTTGGTGGACACACGCATGCGTTTCTGTGAATCGTGGCCGACTAGAGTGAACAGCCAGGCCCTACAGCAGGCATGAGCTCAGCTTCCACAGGCGTGACAGGCGGCATTCCACGGGAAACCTCCAGAGCGATCGTGCTCTCCCGGGGCGGTGGAGGGCTCCCGCGGCCCTATGCCCTGGCTCTGCCTGCTCCTGTGCCGTACGGCAGCTCCCTCTGGGGAGGCTTCCACTCTGTGCAAAGCCAGGTATCCCGGCCTATTTCTGCCGCCGGGAAGAGGCCTCTCCTGCGAGGAACACGCTGGACCTCATGGCTGTCTGCCTTCGTATTGATTTCTAGGAGCCGTGGGTAGGGCTGAGACACGTACATCCGCTACGGAGCGCCTCCGGCCGTCTTTAGGATAAAGAGACGTTCTTGGTTTCAATGCAGTCAACTCCAGTGTCCCCAGCCAGCACTCCCAGAGCGTCCCTGGTGAAGGAAGCCCTGCCGGAGCAGAGCTCAGGAAGACGCCCTCCTGGGTCTCCTCTCCATGCTGTTGTCTGAGCACCAAGGTCCACCTGGAAGCTGTTTCTCTGTGGCAGGAGGGAGGCAGGGCTCGTTTCTCCTACCGGGATAGCCCTCCGGACCGGTCCTGTCACAGACCAAGCTGCCACATGCGTGGCCTCTGGCCTCCTCGCTGGGACTGCCCATCTTCTCCGCAGTCCCGCAGTCTCCGTCACCGTGTCCTGAGGGAGGTCTGGCGGGGTGCGTGTGCACCCACTGAGCCTCAGCCTGGCTCTTGCCACCCTTACCGAGAATCCAAGGCCCTGGCACCTTCACACACAGAGTGGGTGCCACAGTCGCCACCGAGACGGGCAGACTACCTGGACGAGAACGGCCGTCTGCACCTCGTGTCTCCCTCCACACGCAGAGAGCCCAGCTACGGCTCAGGCCGGCCTGCCTTCCCCTGCAATATTCTAGTTGGTAGTACAGAAGTCTCCAACCAATCTTTTGTTCATTCCAACCCATTTCATGCTATTGTAAACGGCACAGTTTTAAAACCTTGCTTATTGAAATTGCATAAAGCAGACTTGTGTAACTCAATTTCGATCTTATTTTATTTATTTTTTGAGACAGTCTCACTCCATCGCCCAGGCTGGAGTGCAATGGTGCAATCTTGGCTCACCACCACCTTTGCCTCTGGGTTCAAGCGATTCTCCTGCCTCAGCCTCGAGTAGCTAGGACTACAGGTGCGCGCCACCACACCCGGCTGATTTTTGAATTTTTTTTTTTTTTTCTCTGAGACGGAGTTTCGCTCTTGTTACCCAGGCTGGAGTGCAATG